AACGTTACTGATCCTCATTAGATTAGAAAAGTACATGCTTTCCCTCCAGGAAACGTATGTAAGTGTTGGAATTTCTAACACTAGAAATGATTGAAACTGAGTGGTTTGAAATGGTAATTTTTCCTATAGCTGAAATTTAAAAGATGACAGTTTTCTTTCCCGTGTCCGTTCTCATTATTTATCAGAACTTAGGCTGTGATTTACATCCATAGCAAGTAAAATGGAAAGCCCAACTCCTTTCAGGCCACTGCCTCCCATCTCCTTCGCCTGCTGCTGCTCCAGCCCTTACCAAACACTGCACTGCCACCTTCTGCCTGGCTTACAGCTCACAGCTGAATTTTCACCATCTTTTTTTTTCTCATCCTGCCAAATTCATGATGTATGTCCTAGGAAAACTTGGAATACAAAGAAGAAAACATGTGTGCACACACACAGTCAAGATGGTCTGTAAATTTATATTTGTTTCTAGCTGGTCTCTATTACAGATGGTGAATGCACTATACCTAATTCCTAGCTTTAATTTAGAGGAAGGGAACTCTACAGTGTTGCTCCCCGTGACCCAAAAACCTGAAATACTTTGCTCAGACAGTGTTAAGCCAACATATTGGCCAACGATTAGGCACAAGTGTTTTTTCTGGTTTGCTCAACAGCCTGATTGATACAGGCAATGTCTGAAATAACCGAATGGGTGCTGGTAGAAGACAAAGCTTAGACCATCAGTTGGTATAAATCAGGATTTCTCACTTCGGAGAAGCTACCCTGATCCAAACCCAGTAGTTACCTGTTTCAGGTTATCGCATGAATTGTGCTAGGTGTGTCTGCTTCTACTGTGGCTTAGGAAAAGAAAACCCAAGTAGTGCATGTCTGTGGCTTATGGATGGAAGAAAAATATCCCCTTTTTAGGAAAAGAAAACCCAAGTAGTGCATGTCTATGGCTTATGGATGGAAGAAAAATATCCTCTTTTTTTTCTTTCTTTCTTTCCAGTTGAAATATTAAACACAAAATCAAGTTGAGGAAAAAAAAAAATAAGTATTTGTGGCTTATGGATGGAAGAAAAATATCCCCTTTTTTTTCTTTCTTTCCAGTTGAAATATTAAACACAAAGTCAAGTTGAGGAAAAAAAAAAAAGTATTTGAAAGCCAAGGGAACCCAGATGTACTTTAAACCCTCTCACATCGCTCGTTTTAAAGAATTCTTGGTATTTTTCCTTTCCTAGTGAAGGAAGGGGTACCACAGTCACCCTCGATTTAGAAAACTAAATGCTCTTAGTGAACATGCTAATTCTTGCAGCAGCCAGCCCCATGCCAAGGGACACTTCCAAGCCGGAGCAGACGCCCTGGCCCCAGCCCTGCGAATCTTTGAAAGACAGACAGGCTCGCTGCTGTCTCCCAGAAAGTGCCAGAGCAATTATTAAATATCTAAACCCCAACCTTTAACAGAAAGCCAGTTCTTGCAGGCTTGAGAGACTTGATGCGTGCAAGAAAAGGTTGGAAAAATTTCCCCTGCATTGTAAACATGCTTTCCCTCGGCATGCTGCGCCATGGCTAAGGGAACAGTGGCATCTGGTGTTCGCTGGGCTTTCTCGCAGCCACCGCTTCCCAGGTGGGTGCTGGCAGGCTTCGCTGGGCACGGGCAGGATTTGGCTCCCACATGCAGGTATCCAGTGACACCCGAGACCTGTAGGATGTCAAAGACATCTGCACAAGGGGCCGGGTGTGATGCAGGTTGTATGGGAGACTCAAGCCCATCTGAATGGCAGCTAGAGGTCTGGATGGTGCGTTGAACAAGAGAAACCCAAACTTGCTTCTACCGAAGAAGGTAATCGCTCTTGCTGGGGGATGAATTCCCGCCTACCCAGGACCGTGGGGGTGATGCAGCATCACCAGGGAGCCTCTGACTTGGATGCTATTTGAGATTTATATATTGTATGAAATCTTTATTCTATCTTTCTCAATGGAGAGGAATTTGCTGCCTAATGAGGTGCCCTGGTTTGGTTGGTGAGGCAGCCTGTCCACCCAGAGGCCTACGACGCTCGGTCTGTGCTGCAACAGCTCCAGGGTGTGATGCCCAACTGCGTGTGTCTGACTTGTTTTGGCCATCTGAACTTCTCCTCAGTTCGATCTCATGTTCTCAATTTGAGACCCAAAGTGAAAGCGCTGCCCAGGAGCCTTTTCCTTGCCAGGGCCAGTGATTTTAATTTGCCGACAATCTGGACCGAGTTTCACTGGGAGATGTTTGTTTGTGCCTGTTTTTCCATCTTTGCTCTTGCCGTTAAAGAGGACAGTCCCCCCGTATCTGCTGTATAGACACGGGTAACTTTTCCGCTGTTAGAGCCTAAATACATCTCTTGAACACCTCTGGCAGGCCAGTATCAACAGGCAACTGGGCAGTATCTGAACCTTAGGGTGAGTGTGTGCCATCGCTGGGCTCCAGATGGAGGGTCCTCTACTGCCGGTCCCTGAGACACAGCCAAAGGCTCACTTGGAGACAAACTAAGCCATATTTCCCTCTTCTGGCAGGAGAGGAAGCCCACATTTGAGCAAAACAAAAGTTTAAGGTGTGCGTCTCCCTGGTAATTTCTATGCAAATTAGAAAAGGTAAATTACTGTCTGCATTTTGCTAACTGAAATACAGTTTATCGGTCTTCTACCTCAAGTGCACGAAAGACAGGGCATTTCCTACGGAGAGGAACAGAGTGACAAAGCTGAGCTTGGACCTCTATGGAAACAATTTCTCTTGGTTTCTGCAATTTTTCGAGTTGCAGATTTTAAGAAGTTCTTATACTTAACCAAAGGCTGTTTTGCAATATTTGCAGGCTACCCCATGACCAGTTTTATCTGAGCGCTGGGACTGACAGACCTTTTTCTGTTCACGTTGTTATCAGTACATCATCTGATGGATGAGTTCCTGAGCCTGGTTACTCCTCCCTGCTCTGCAGAAGCGAGCGGCTCTGCTCTGCTCCGATGCTGCTGTTAATTCCTGCTCCTCCCTGTGGCTGTGCTCAGAAACTCAGTGCTTCCCCTGCACAAGGCCTTGCTTCAGTAGCTAAACTCGCTCAGAGGTCTTAATTATTGTCCCTTTTAGGCAGTTTGTGTCCTATTAAGTTACAACAAAATGCATTTTGTTGACATCAGAATCGGTTTAACAGCTACAAGTGACAGCAAGTGGTGGTTCTCCAAGAGCTTCACGTCAACTTCTGTTGCCAAAACAAGCAGCACCACAGTGAACAAGATCTCTCTTCTTCTTGCCCATGAGACTTCAGAACTCATCACGTGATTTTACGTAACGTGTAGTACTATAAAGTGACAACATCCCAAGGGCTGACTTTTGGGTGGTGTCATGTACTTTGGCACAGTGTTCCTCGGACCGCCGGATCTCTCTATTCTGCAACAGTTTGCTCAAACGAAACCCTGGAGTTGTCATGCACTGAAGTTTATTTTCCATAAAAACATGGGAGGTTTTTCCAAAATGCAGCTGAAATTCCGCTTTAAAAAAAAAAAAAATCAACAGGAACTGGGCACCTAACTCCAAATCCCACTGAAATTAAATTCAATCCCTATGATCTCTTACAAAGATTATGGTCTTAGGCTGGCAAACAACCCTACTCTTGCAAGTCAACAGGCACTTGTAAGTGTGTGGAGAAGAGGTCGCAGAGGCGTATGCTCTACAACTACCCCAACCCTTTCGCTATCAGCAGTCAAGATAAATGTTGTTGCCTGAACAGGGTTACAGAAAGAGTAAGAAACGTTAGTTTTGTAATGTGTTTTGTTTATTAAACTCAGTTTTCACTGATGTCCTGAGTTGACAAAAATGTTTCCCAGGAAGACTGACAAACAGAAACAATTCATAAATATATATATATATATTTCAAACACTGTAGGTATAAACAAATAAAAGCTCTGTTTAGCTATTTTGGGAGGTCCTGTGTAACCAGCATTTTCAACTGGCCAATTAGCAGCACATGTGTTAATCAGTGAAGAACTTCCACTTGTTTTTAAATGATCAAATCCAGTCTTTTAAAATTATTGCTCATGATCGGACAAAACCCCAAGATATAAGGGATGTTAATTAAAAATCCTCATTAACAGCAGAGATGGTACGTATTGACAGTACATGCAGTTTTATAGTGGGGTTTTTTTATGCAATTAAGACCAAAACTTTCAGAAATGAATTAAGATGCTGGGCAACCAACCTGAGGATATTACAGGAGCCAAATTCTCAGCAGCATTGACCTTGGTGCCTTCCTAAAATCTACTTTTTTTTTAAGATGTCAGGCTGAGCCTGGCACAAACACCCCCAAATCACTAATGGCTGGAGATAGAGCACCCAACTGCGACTCTGCTCCAAGGCTTTGCCGCCCAGCGTTAACTCCTCTCCCGGCCACGTGCTGCTCCTGCCTCTTTGCCGAGTCCCCTGGGACCTGCCTGGTGGGGCTTCCATGGGCTGGGGATGCGGAAGAGGACCAGCGCACAGAGAAACATCACGGAGTTGTAGACAACTGAGGTATTTTTCCTCCCTCGCTGGTCCTCCTGGCTGGCAGGGTCAAGGGAGGAGGCAGTGGCAGGTACCAGCAGAAGGTGGAAACGAGGATCTCCTCGCAGCACTTGTAACTAGAGGCATCTCAACTTTTGCAGCTGCTAGTATCAATGCCTTGTGTGGCAGATTCCCCCCACACCTACTGCATACACTACTCGGCTAGCGGTCTCCCACCGGGGCTATGCTACGGCAGTTCTTGCTCCCTTCTGCTTGGGAGGACCTTGGGGCCAGCATCCACCTTCCTGTGCCCTCCCGGTGGGCCACAGCTCGCTGACCTCCTTGCTCCGCTCCAGCCAGCCCACTTGCTTCTCTGCAGGAAAACAAGGAGCGGCACTACTTGTGCTAACCCCCCAGCAGAGGAGCCCGGTCCCGGAGGGAAAGAAACGCGCTGTCCATCTCACATCAGCGAGGAACATTCCTCAGGGCGTAGTGTCAGAGGT